CGGAAGACCAAGAACCTGCTCAAGGAGCGGAACGAAGTACGGCCTCGGCCGCGCAGCGCCTCCAGAACCAGCAGGGACAGCACCAGTACCCCCAGCGGCAGCACCAGCGCCAGCAGCACCTCCAGCTCCAACAGCGCCAACTCCAGCACCCTCAGACGCACCAACGCCAGCAGAACCACCAGCGCCAACACCCCCAGCAGCTCCAGCTCCAGCAGCTCCAGCAGCTCCAGCAGCACCAACGCCAGCAGGACAGGCAGCTCCAGTACCGCCGGCAGCTCCAGCAGTACCTCCAGCAGGACCAACTCCAGCAGCCCCAGCAGCACCCCCAGTCCCAGCAGCTCCTGGACCTCCAGTACGAGCACCTCCGGGACCAGCAGCAACAGTAGTACCTCCAGCTCCAGCAGCACGGCTCCAGCGCCGGGCAAACCACTCGCGCAGCTCCTGCGGAGAGAGTAGCTCCCGCCTCGACGAAGCACCGCGAGAGGCCACACGAGCAGACCCAGCACCCACAGGCTCCGCACCCCCAGGCTCAGCACCCCCAGGCTCAGCACCCCCAGACTCAGCACCCCCAGGCTCAGCACCCCCAGACTCAGCACCCCCAGGCTCAGCACCCCCAGGCTCCGCACCCCTGGACTCAGCACCCCCAAGCTCCGCACTCCCAGGCTCAGCACCTCCAGACCCGGCACCCGCAGGCTCAGCACCTCTAGCAGCACCAGAGTCAACAGCTACCTCGACAGGCTCGACTGCGTCTACCTGGGACACACCTGACGGGGCAGGACCCTGAGGGGGGAGGGGGTCTACCGGGGGAGGACCTGGCGCAAGGAAGAGCGGCGGCGGGGGGAGGGGCGCAGTGCGGTAGAGGAAGAGACGGTAGTAAGGCACCGACTCGTCAAAGGTGACGTCCTGGGAGGACAGAACACGGCGCGAGGTGGGGTGGTAAAACTGCCACCCAGGCGCGTCAGGGGGGAAGCCAAGGAAGACGCAGGGAACAGCACGGGGGGACAGCTTGTCCGCAGACAAGTCGCGGACAAACGCCCGAGATCCCCAGACCCGAAACGCAGACGCATCGCCAACCTTCCCCGTCCACCGCAAGGTGGGGGAGGTCTCTGGCAAGGAGACCCGGGGCTGAAGGTTGAGCTGATGCGCTGCGTACTGAACCGCAAACGGCCACAGAAAATGGGGGGCAGCCGCATGGATCATCGACGTACGAGCGACGTCCATGACCATGCCAATGCGGCGCTCAGCAATCCCATTTTGCTGTGGAGAGGCCGGAAGCGTGAAGGTCTGGCGGATGCCCTGTGCACGACAGAAGGCTCCCAGACGGGCAGAGGAAAACTCCCCGCCTCTGTCAGAGTGCAGACGCAGAACAGGAAAGTCCGAGCCGAAACTCTCTCTGAGTTGGAGACGAGCTGCGCGGATCCAGTCGATCAACACCTCAGCGACGTCACCCTTGCTGCGCAAGGGGAACACCGTGGTGTAACGCGAGTAGTCGTCAACCACCAACAGGAAGTAACGCTCGTGACCCTGGCCACGGACGCGGGCGGGGCCCCACACGTCCATGTGAAGAGTCTGCAGCGGAGCCTCTGTCGGAGGAAACTCGGAGGAGTGAGGGGCGGCGCGCTGTCGCCCCTCGACGCAGGGGACGCAGGTAGGGGCAGGCCCCGGAGGTAGGGGAGGTAGAGACCGGGGGAGACCAGAGACAAGGACACGGGAGGCCATGCCTCGGAGACGAGGCAGGGAGGGGTGACCAAGGTGGTGGTGCCAGAGGAGAGTCTGGTGGGACAGGAGACGACACGAGCAGGGCGCAGACTCAGGACCAGACCTGGACGCTGCAGCAAACACCTGACTCGACGCAGCTACCTGACCAGACTCAGCAACCGGAGGAGACTCAGTAGTCAGTGTGTACAGGCTCGACCCCGGCCGACGGGTAAACGTGGCCAAGTGTCGGCCCGTCCGAGCACACGTGCAGTGGGTCACCCGCTGACTCGCAGGAGTGAACTGGTCAACCCCCCTATCCTGTAGATCAGCTCCACTCACCAAGTTCGTAGAGAACGAGGGGAGGTAGAGACTTGACAGGGTGCCAGAGGGGGCTGCCGGGCACGGTAAGACAGTGGAGAAGCTAGCAAGGACAGGACCCCCAGAGGGGTCCGCCAGGGAGACCGCAACCGGCCGACTAAGCGGCGTAAGCGTAGTGCGGTCTCGAAAGAAGGAGCGGGAAGCACCCGAGTCAAGGGTGAAGGTGTGTAAGGCCTGAGCCGACGTGGTACCTGAGAGAGCAGACTCACCAGCACCTGGGGCAGCAGACGCACTAGCACCTAGAGCAGCAGCCTCACCAGCACCGAGAGCAGCAGCCTCACCAGCACCGAGAGCAGCAGCCTCAATGCCCGGGTCAGGCGGAACACACAGGTAACAGTCACCCTCATCACTAGTAGACACAGCATACATGGCAGCAAGAATAGCATCATAATCAAGATCAAAGATAGCAACCCCCGCCCTAGACAGCTCTCCGCAGCGAGGGATCTCAGTGGCGTCAGGGAACTGGTGACGCCACGCGTCCGTCAGGCGGCCGAAGCAGCGCTGGGTGGAGTGCGGGCCCCCGTACTGCTCACCAGCGCGGTCGCCGGTACGGAGGACGTAGGTGCAGGGACCAGTACCCCCACCTCGCTGACGCCCAGCGTACCACTCACGAAGCTGCTCGGGGGACGGGGTCTCACGACTGCGCTGCTGCTGCTGGCGCGGACCACCACCGGAGCCACTCCTCTGCGCAGAGCCGCGACCAGCTCCACCGCTGCCTCCGCCGCCTCCGCCACCTCCGCCGCCTCCGCCACCTCCGCCGCCTCCGCTCCCTCCGCCACCGCCGCCGCCTCCTCCGCCTCCACTGCTGCCACCGACACCTCCACCCCCGCCACCACTCCCACCACCACCCCCACCCCCTCCACTGCCTCCACCACCACCTCCACCGCCCCCGCCAGCCCCTCCAGCGCCCTTGCCCCCCTTGCCCTTGCCGGTGCGGCGTCTCCCGCTAGGGGCAGACGCAGCGCCGACCGACTCGAAACCAACGAGGTCGGCCGCAGCAGCAGAAGCAACAAAGGGCAAGAGGGGGGAGGGGGAACACCCCTCAAAGACGGGGGTGCGAGGGTCACCACGAGAGGCTCCTACAGTGACTATGCTCTTCTCTGCTGCTAGGAGGCGCTCCTCGAGGAGGTCAACGGTGAGTGTGGTGGGGCAAACTGAGAGGAAGTGGTCCCTGACTAAGCGAAGGGAGTCAGGGAGCCGGGTGACTATGTAGTAGAGGGTGATGTACATGGGGGGGGGGGGGGTTCTTGGCGCAGAACTCAGCAGGAAGCGCAGCGCGGTAGCGAGTGTCACTAGTGCGAAGGTGCGTAATGAGGTCAGCGACTGTGGGAAAGGCAGCAAGGTCAGGGAACAGGTACGGCAGCATGAGGCGGCTAAGCGCAGCAGTGGCAGGGGAGGAGTAGCGTGCAACTACAGCGTCGTACAAGGTCTTAGCACTCTTGTACTGGCTAAAGTGCGCACACTCAGTGGTCGGTAAGTGGCGACGCACAGCAAGACGGGCAGCAGCATCGCGTGTGGCCCACTGTGAGCGAACAGTGCTGTCAGCAGTAGCAGGCGGGGCAGGAGAGGCACCAGAGGTGAGATCGAACAGGGAGAGTCCGTCTGCCCTATCGCACTGTAGGAACAGCTGGAGGTCATCGACCCAGACCTCAAAGTCAACAGCACGACCCTCAGCATCAAAGGTAAGGACACTGGGGGTAGCCATGACTGCAGTGGCCTAGAAGGGAGTGATCTCACCAGTCCGAGTAAGTAGGGCCGGGGCGCGCCGGTAGGAACAGTGGCGGCTCGACGGCAGGGCGGCTCGGCGGCTCGGCTGCTGAGCGGCTCGGCGGCTCGGTTGCTGGGCGGCTCGGCGGCTCGGCTGCTGGGCGGCTCGGCGGCTCGGCTGTTGGGCGGCTCGGCTGCTGGGTGGTTCGGCTGCTCAGCTGCTGGGCGGCTCAGCAGTGAAGGGGCCGGTAGAGGCGGCGACAGGGCCGGTAGAGGCGGCGACGGGGCCGGTAGAGGCGGCGACGGGGCCGGTAGAGGCGGCGACGGGGCCGTGAAGGGGCCGCGAGGGGCCTAGAGCGGCGGCGACGGGGCCTAGAGCGGCGGCGACGGGGCCGTGAAGGGGCCGCGAGGGGCCTAGAGGGGCGGCGACGGGGTCGCTAAGGACGGCGACGGGGCCGCTAAGGGTGGCGCGAGGGGCCTCTAGGAGGGCGCGACGTGAGGGCGGCCTACGGGGCACGCCTCGGGCAGGAAAAAAAGATCGAGTTAGGTGGTGGGCCCTGAGAAGCGTTCCCACGAGGGAACCTGCTCTATACCATGTGAAGAATGAGGAAATGAATGAACTAGCAAGCAGGTGGGTACAAGTAGGAAAACCTAGAAATGTTGTACCCCATATAGTCTACCCCACTACAGCCTACACAGACTATAGCATATAAGTTTGACATACCTCTCGCCTGATTCAACCGTAGAACAAGCGAAGCTCAATTCGACTTCAATTATCAAGGTGCTTCCCGTGAAAGCTGTGCATATAGACGGACTGGATAAGGTCAAGGCTAAAGCTGAACAGGATGTGATTGGACCTGCAGCTTCTCCTAGTGTTGTTACCACCGTTTCGCCTGCTGCTGTTGTGGTTCCTGCAGCTGCTCCTGCTGTTCCTCCTCCCACATTTCCTTCTCCAGTTGCAGCACCTGCAGCTCCTGCGCTTCGTGATGCGGCTGCTCCTCTTGCTGCTGCTATCACCAAGCTCTATTGACTGCAGCAAACGGAATCACAACGTTTCTAGAATCGGGGAAGAGGAGGAGAACGGGCAGATGGAAAGAGAAGAAGGCGGTAGGGGGGTAGGAAAGGCTCAGGCGTCAGTGCCTACTGTCGCTTCGATCAACTCTGTGGATTCTGAACCTTCTCTCGCTTCATTGGCATCTTTGATCCATGTGGATTGTATGACTGACACGACCAGGGTTGATGACGAGCGAGTGGCTCTGAAGACAGCACCTAGGGAGGAGTCTCGTTTGATGGAGAGACTAGAGAAGCTCCAAGTTCCAAGCGATTGCGAAGGACTGGTTCAGGAAGAGGAGCAAACATTAGTGGATGGAGCAGAGGGAATGGAGGATTATGGAGCACGAGAGACGCTTCGACTTCTGTCTCGAGCGGACATGGTTCATTACTTGGACGTGAGAGGTGGCTGTGATCTGAAGGCATGCGAGTGCTGCTTCGACCGGGCAGTGAGCAGCCGCGCACAGTGCGCTCTCGACATGGCCGACCTTAGCAGCTTTCGCCGTGAAATGAAGAACTCGCTTTCTGATTACGTCCCTGCTGATCCACATCCCCGTGCATCCTGGTCCGAGCTCGAGTGGGAGATGAGGTATCCAGTGCGGGAGTCTGAACGCCTGCAGGGGATGGCAGCGGTGGAGGAGCTGAAGAGGAAGGCAGCATTCGCGCCTTTACAATGTGCAGAAGCAATGATTCTCGAGTGGATGGCTGAGCCTCGTGTGGGCGTGCTCATGGACCTGGGGAGGTTGAGATCCTACCTCCCTGCCATTCTTCTGACTCGCGATTGTGATGCACCTGCCCCTGCTCCTGCTGCTTCCAGTCCTCCTTCTCTTTCTCCAGCTGAACCTGCAGTTGCTTCTGCAATGTGGTCCTGCTGCTGGCGCTGCAGCAGATGCTGGGCCAGATACCGCCGTGCGGTCAGCTTTGCTGCCTTCCTCGTGCTTGTAGCGAGCTCCCCATGCATTGTGACTCTATGGAAGGCTCAGAAGGAGCTCTCTGGTACAACCTATCCGCGCATGGCAATCGTACTGGGTGTCACTCGTCAAGAACAGCTGGACTGCTTGGCTTCCATGCTGGTGCAGGTGCTGGGGGTGAAGGAGAGTGCTGAACTGAAGGAAGGGTTTGGGTTCTTTGTGCAGCATGTGCTGTCAAGTGGGCTGGAGAAGGCGCATGCGAAGAGGAAGGAGGGAGCTGAGGGAAATACTTTTCAGAAGACGCAAAATAGGGAAATTGAGAAGAGGGGAGCAGGTGATGGCGGAAAGGGTAATGCAGGGGAGAAGAAAGGTGGCAGGGATGGGAAGGATGGGGATTGGAAGAAGCATTTGAAGGGGCGTGTGTGGGACAGGTATGTGGATGGCATGGCTTGGATTTTGGAGCGTGGAGGAGCGGAATGGAGGCAGTTTGGGTGCACCCACTGCCAGATGGGCGGCGGCAGCGGTGGTGGCAGCGGCAGTATTGATGGGCTTGGCTGTCGGGGCAACAAGGAAGGCAGGAATATTCCCAAGGGCATGTATGTGAGTGGCGTGGGTGCCACTGACTTCGCCTTTACAGTCGCCACGTTGTTATCTAAGGCCGAGAGTTGCCCAGAGGCGCAAGTCTTCATCCTAGATGGAAACAACGTGAGCAAGACACGGGTGGAGGATGCAGCTATTGAAGAGGCGAGAGTGAGGCTGGAAAGAGAGAGGCCGAGGAGGTATAGGCAGAGAAGGGATAGGCGGAGAAGGGAGACGAGTGAGACTGGAAGGGGATGTGGAGCCACAGGAGCAGGCGGAGGGGTGGCAGCAGGACATGCACCTGCAGATGCAGCTGCAGCTGCAGAAGCACCACCACTGCTAGCTGCCTCTTCTCCTGGCGCTGCTCCCTCAGCCGGAGCCCCAACTTCTGCTGCCTCCAGTGCAGTTTCCACTGCTGTGCGTGTGCCTGTCAATTCCAACCCTTTTCTTGCAGCCTTCACGTATCGGGTCAGTTGCATCTTGCAGTGGGTGCGCATCTACGGCTCGGATTCCATGTCAGCGAAGCAATGCTTCAAGGACACGCCACAAGAGCACAACCTGCCAATTCGCCACCCCTTTCACGACCTTCCGAGCCTGCTGGTCAGGTTCGGTGCCATCCCCAAGCCTCTGGTTGGAGCCGAACATTTCTGTGAGTGGGACGAATGGCCCCAGGGCAGTGAAGATGCCATGAAGTTTCCTGATGACCCGAATGCAAGATTCTTTGGACTGGGAATCGTGGAGGAGAGTGAGGAGAGAGAGGAGAGTGAAGCGAGTGCCGAGAGTGAGGCAAGAGAGGATGAAGAGGAGCAAGGTGAGGGCGGTGAGCAAACATCTGTAAAGGCACCAAGACGAGGAGAAGGCAGCAAGCGCAAGGGTGGGAGGGGACGAAGTGGCGGACGAAGGGGGGCAACCAGCCATAAGGGAGGTGGAAGGGGCGGAAGGAGCAACTGGGGTGGTCGCTCCCAGAGAAGCCACATCAATGCTCCAACACCTGTAGGCGGGATGCTGACTTCTAGGAAAGAGCTTCCCATTGCTCACTGCAGGGCGGATATAGACTTCATTGTAGACGTCGCCAGCAGGTTGTTTCCTCCGCCAGCGTGTGCCGAATGCGCATCGTGCTTTTCCCGGTACAAATCCGCCATTCCCTTTGCTGCTGTCGTTGCCAACTTCGCGTACCTCCCCGCCTCTGTTCTCTTCAACCGCTTCGTCTATGTCTTTCCACCGCCCTCCTTGGAGATCACTCAGCTAGCAGACGCGCTGTGCTTGTACGACCCCTCCTTCTCATACCTGCCTATCCGTTTGCACCTGCCTGAGGTTCGTGATCTTGCGGAAAAGCTGCCCATGCTCCTGCTGCTCGTGATCGCTCTGAAATGGGCCAGGGAGATTGCCATGGTGCACGGGCGACTGGGAGCTGAGGGGAGGGTGGGTGAGCAGAAAAGTTCAAAAGGACGCAGGGCAGGGAGTGGAAGAAACGGAGTGGGGAAAGAGGAAGAGGGAGAGGAGGAGAATGAGGAGGATGTTTGGAAGGCGTGGGAGGAGGTGCGGTCGTGGTGCGCCACAGCGGTGATGGCGTGGCCTGCGAGTGTGAGGGACGGACGCAAGTGGTACGACCCTGCGTCTATCTCTGCAGGGCTCAGCTTGGACTGCAAGGGCAGCACGGAACCGCAGAGGGAGGAGGTCACCGGGCAGATGATGATTGACATGTTCCGGGCGGCAACACAGACAAGGTTCTGTGCTGACCTGGATGGCCAGGATGGGTCGGGTACAAGTAGTGTTGGTGGCAGTGGCAGCAGCGGCGGCGGCGGCGACGGTGGCAGCAGCAGCAGCAACAACAGGGGTAGCTGTGCCAGCAGTAGTGGCAGCAGAGGCACTAATGACAACAACAGAGAGGGGAAGGGCAAGAAGAAGGAGGTGCCGGCATATCTGAAGCCATGGCCAGGGGGAACCAACCTGCTTGCATGTCTGCGAGAGATGCTGCTGGGGGAGCCGTGCTATCGCCCTGCCTCCCCTGCTGCTTCTTCCACCCATCCTACTGTGAAGGCCATTGCTGCAGTACCAAACCATGCAAGTGCACAAGCTTCGGTTTCAAAAGCTTCTGGTCATGCTGCTGACGAGGGGTATCCGTGCGGTGCTGAGGGATGTGACAGGGTAGGGGGCGGTGGTGTAAAGCTGAGGAATTGCGGTGGTTGTGGCAAGGTGACGTATTGCAGCAGAGAGTGCCAAAAGACGCACTGGCCCTCCCACAAGCTCACATGCCCATGCAAGACCAGCGGGAAGAAGAGTGGGACCAACAGTGGCAAGGTGAGAGAGCAAGGACAGCAGCGAGCACAGAGGAATAGAGGTACAGTAGAAGCTAATAGCTGGTGTAGGTCTCAATAGTTGCTGTGTGGTGGAGAGGAGTGGAGAAGAGTGATGACTAGGTTTACCACAGAGTAACAGGGTAGGTGCAAGGCTTGTGTTTCTGGTGTCAGTGTGAAACAATCGCTTCCCGCCAGTGAACAATGACCATACATGTGTTTTGGCTTCATCTGCTCGATTGAAGTCAAGATGTGTTTGCTTTCTCTGCTCCTCTTTCCTACTGCCGTTCTCTGTTCAGGATCTCCACAGGTTATGACAACAAGTGGCTGCCAAATATCCCTCAGTCACGACACAAGACTAAGAATAGCACCTGTGCCTTCAACAAATCTTACTTTATATATATTCAAGTCAGAATTCAATGCTGGCGGAAATTGGCATCTGCAAACATCTAAAGCATCGGGTTTCTGGTTGCGTACAATCTGTGTACCCCTGCAATTATCTTGCCCCAAGGACCTCCGGTGCTCAGTAGAGAAGCTCGCATGTACCCGAATGGCCCCGGATATAGGCGCCGTCCTATTAAAGGCGCCAGCACTTATATCTGGAGCATGGCGCTTATGGCGGATCCTCAATTATAAGCGCCCCCCCTAGAAAACCTTTACTTATTATAAGCGCACGTGCAATTTTAATATAAATTCCTGCTTAAAACGGTAACAAAATACATTTTTGCAGCGAGTCGGATCTCAATTTCGCTTCGTTTGACTCGCGAAGACCTGACTGGCTGCGCGTCCAGTCAGGATGTGCTGGCATGACGTGTCTTTGCCTGTGTGTGAACCCAAAATATCGCTTGCGCGAGATTCTGCTTTGTGACGCTGAAACAATTCGACTCGGTTGAAATGGCAAGAAGGAAATGAACAATTTGGTGCCCTAAATATATAATTTCTTATTTGTCATCATATAAGCGCCGGCGCCTATGGCCGTTATTCAATTACAAGCGCCCCCCCTAAAAAAATATGAATCTATTATAAGCGCATATGCGCTACTATCCGGGGCCATATGGTAGCACAATAAGATTTGCCGTTCCGCAACAAGATGAGACTGGAAACCCTGCTCGAACATTGCCTTCTGCCATGCCAGTGATCGCGCCATAACGAACTTGCAATCCTATTGCCCCGGCGAACAAGTTCGTTGGGGCAAAGCTCATAAGTTCCGCCGGTAGCGAGATTAGTCAAAGCTCTCACTGAAAGCCGCCACATGCTAGGAATAGTGATTGGTGAGCGCAAAGGAAAAGATCAATGAGGTGGGGGGCGGGGGGGGGGGAGGGGGGGGGGGGGGGGGGGGGGGGGAGGGGGGAGGACTGCTGGGTGCGTGTTGAAAGAATAACGCGCGTCTCAAACTAATGATGAGGGATGAGTGTAGGTGGACAATCATGGGTGAGCCAAGATGGGTGAGCGGGGAGGGGATGGCTGGGTGAGCGCTGGGAGACCACGTTCGTCCATCATCGTGCGAAAGAAACGATGATGGATGAGTGCAGGGGGGAATCATGGGTGGGCCTTTGGGGAAAGATGAGTGTGCAGCAGGGAGACTGCTGGGTGATGGCTGAAGATTTATTGGGGGTTAGTGTAGGAATGGTGAGGGATGAGGGCAAGGGGGAGTCATGAGTGGGCTTCTCGGGGAAAGAAAGGTGAAGGGGGGGGCGAATGCTGGATCTACTAGGGAAAGGCAGAATGGTGGGTGAGGGTACCGGGAGAGAGGGGTGAGCATAGAAGGGAAAAAGGTAATTGCGAGGACGGCATGAGGGGTGAGCGCAGGGGTAATCAAGTGTTTTTTGAGAATTCTCAAAAAACACTCGTTGAGAATTCTCAAATCATATCGCGGACGGCATGAGGGGTGAGCGCAAGGGTAATCAGGAGCGTACGTGCCAGGGCAGGCGAGTGGAGGGGTTAGCGGCGGGGAAATGTGGGGTGGGTGCAGGGGAGAAAGGGGTCAGCGTAGGGGGAATGAGGTGAGAGCATGGAGGGGCATGAGGGGTAAGTGTATGGGGAATGACAGGCTTAGGGAAAGGGGGAATGGTTCGTGAGGGCACAGGGAGAGAGGGTCCTGCATAGGGGGGTACGAGGAATGAGTGCGGATGCTGTGAGGTGTGAATGCAAGGGCATTCATGAATGAACGTGCAAGGGCAGGTGGAATGAGGGGTGAGTGGGGGGAAGGGGAATGAGTGGAAAGGGCCGGGAGAGGGGTGAATGTCAGGTGGGCGATGTCAATCGTCCTGGTTTCAGTTTCCACGTTTTTTCATGTCCCTAGGTCCCTTTGTGTGAGTATCCGAAGTTTTTCTACTGTATCGGATTGGTGTGTACGCACTCCATTTTTTAGGCGCCTAAAAAATAGACTCCCTTTGTGTGAGTATCCGAAGTTCCTCTACTGTATCAGATTGGTGTGTGCGCACTCCAGAAATGTGCCTTCCTCTAGAAGTGGCAGCAAGTGGATTCCCTCATCCATCTTTGTTGGGGATACTGTGGGTACCACCATGCAAACTCCAGCAAAATAGTTAACATGCCTTCAATCTCACAGTGAAAATCCATATAATTCCTGCTTTTCAGAGTGCAGTTCGGATCTTCTTTGCCCTGGCATGGAGGTTCCTGATACAGAGACATCAAGTACGATGCCCAATATCCAACCAGAGCATTTGCACGCAAGAAACAGGGGGGTGAATAAGGGAAGGGTTGGTGGTGGCACCTCAAGAGCGAGGGAAGAGAGTAAGCTGAGGACTTTGGGTGGCCCCACATTGCCCCCAGCAACGAAAAGGAGTGAGACTACATGGATAGGCAAAAGGGTTGCACAGCACATGGGGAGGCTTGGAGGCACCTCAAGAGCAGGGAGATGGAAGAAGCTGAGAAGGTTGGGTGGCGCCACATTGCTCCCAGCAATGCACTCCGAAATGCATTTAGCAGGATGTGAGGAGGTGCTGCTGCTGCTGCTGCTTAGGGCCTGTGGGAGGAGGTGAGGGGAGCATAAGATGCAGGGGGAGTGGAAGAAGCTGAGAAGGTTGGGTGGCAGCACATTGCCCCCAGCAATTCGGAGTTACGGTATCCCTGAACCTTGCTCAGGGAAGGGAGCGAGACTGCAAGGGCGACTTTTGAGGCGCCTCAAAGGATGGGGACACCTCAAGAGCAGGGGGAAAGACGAAGCTGAAAAGGTTGGGTGGCGCCACAATGCTCCCAGCAATGCGAAGTTACGGTATCCCTGAACCATTCACAGGGAAGGGAGCGATACTGGTACTATTATTGAGTCGACTCAAAAGTAGACGAAGCTGAAATGGTTGTTTGGCGCCACATTGCTCCCAGCAATGCGGATTTACGGTATCCCTGAACCTTTCCCAGGGAAGGAAGTGAGACTGCAAGTTGAGGCATGTTGACTTGCAGTTGCTGCTTTAGTGCACGTGGGAGGAGAAGGTGAGGGAAGCATAGAATAAGCAGAGGAGATGTGGAGCAAAAATTAACAGTACAGCTGCCCTGGGCAGCAATGCACTTAGTAGGGCTACTTTAGCAGTTGCTGCTTAGTGCATATGAGAGATCAAGGTGAGGGTAGCATAAAACAAGGGGAGAGGAACAGCAAAAACACATGAAAACACATGTCACAACATGTATAGGGTTTCACATGCGCATCCGGGGAATCGAACCCCGGTCAGTATCGTGGGAGGGTACTATGATACCACTACACTAGATGCGCATATCATATATGCGCATACCATGCACTCCAGCGTTTCTCACCAACCCTGAACTGAACCATGTCCTCTCCTAATTTCCTCTCCAACCCCCTTTTCCTCGTAGCAGAGGTGGGGTTAGAGAGGAAATTTTGTTGAATCAAGAATTAAAGTGGTTGCGTTAGGAAGCACCACGCCCTGAAGAGTGGGGGGCGGGGGAAGCAGGAGAGGGGGGGGTTGTTGGAGAGGAGGGGGAGAAGGCGAGCGGAGGAGGGATTGGGAAGAAAGGATAGGAAGCAAGCAGAAGAAGGGTTGGGGAGTAGAGATTCGAGGGAGAGGGGATCAGGCAGGAGGAGCAGATGGACGGAGATTGACAACTGTAGGAAAGAAGCTTCACTGGATAGCAGGTGGCAGGAGGAAGAGAAAAGATATAGTGGGGAGTGGTTGAGAGTAGGGAAGGAGGGGAAGAGCATAAGGATGCACCTGATTGTTTGACTGTGTGTGGTTGGAACATGCATGGTGGCCTCGTGCCGGTAGGTTTGGGTGATGGGGCGGATTGGGTGACTTTTGCGTCGACTCAGAAGTCACCTCTTTTGGGTCGACTCAAAGGAACCTGCATGGTCGCCTGGTGCCACGAGGTTAGGGTGATGGGGCCGACTGAGTGACGTGGCTCAGAGTGCCTTCTTTGAGACTTGTCAAAAATAGCTCAGATTGGCGTTGACTGGAATCATATCAGCACACTCACATGGTGCGGTGCCATGCTAGCAACACCTGCTTCTACCTCCCCTAAGTATTTGCTGCCATGCATTGACCCATGGCCTCTAAGTGGGGCTCAATTGCAGCCATGCTAGCAACACCTACTTCTACCGCCCCTGCAGCCCTCATGCCATGTGAACAGGTGAGCATGTGAGCATGTGAGCACGTGAGTATGTGAGTATGTGAGTATGTGAGTATGAGAGCATGTGAGCATGTGAGAATGTGAGTATGTGAGCATGTGAGTAAGTGAGCATGTGAGCATCTGTCTGTGCCATCACAATGCCATACATACATGGTGCAGTGCCATGAATGCAACAACTGCTTCTACCTACCGCCCCGGCAGTGCCATGGGAACAGGGTGTACGCTATGAACCGCTTGTGATCTACTGATTAAATGTACTAGGCTTACCTACACATGTTCTCGCCTTGTACTCAGTGAGTTTAGTACTTAGATTGGTCATCACTGGTCGGTCAAACCGAACTTGGTGCTTTCTATCCGTTTTTCTTTTTTTAAGTGCCATGCCATGACCGCAACAGCCGCTTATACCTACCACCCCTGCAGTGCCATGTGAGCATGCGGGCATCGCGTGCAATACAATGCAGTGCAATACTCACATGACAGCAGCATGTGACGTGTTTGGAGTCGACTCAAAACACCACACTCACATGACAGCAGTATGTGAGGGAGGGACATGCAGGAGATACTGCGCATGTGAGCACACACAGTGCTATACTCACATCATGTCAAGCAACAGTGCCATGGCAGCACACTCACATGGTGTAGAGCCATGGCAGCAACGGCTACTTCCACTCCACGGCCCCTGCAGCCCTGGTGTCATGGCATTCTATCCAGCTTTTGTATTGTGCAAGTGAGCATCATGGAAAATACAGTGCCACACTCACATGATGTAAAGCCATGGCAGCAACAGCTGCTTTCACTGCCCCTGCAGCCCTGGTGTCATGGCATTCTATCCAGCTTTTGTATTGTGCAAGTGAGCATCATGGAAAATACAGTGCCACACTCACATGATGTAGAGCCATGGCAGCAACAGCTGCTTCCACCGCCCCTGCAGCCCTCATGTCATGGCATTCTATCCAGCTCTTGTATTGTGCAAGTAAGCATCATACAAAATACAGTGCAGCTGCTTCCACTGCCCCTGCGGCCCCCCAACAAATGACCCATCGCTCCCTGCCATGCACATGCACATGCACACATGCATATGTACAAGCACATGCAGATGAAGAGAAAGAAATGTCTCCTGAGAGCACGTGCCAGTCGAACAAAAATCAATGCTCAAGGTATGTGGCATATGCTCAGGGTATGTGGCATATGCTCAGGGTATGTGGCATATGCTCAGGGTATGTGGCATATGCTCAGGGTATGTGGCATATGCTCAAGGTATGTGGCATATGCTCAAGGTATGTGGCATATGCTCAGGGTATGTGGCATATGCTCAGGGTATGTGGCATATGCTCAGGGTATGTGGCATATGCTCAAGGTATGTGGCATATGCTCAAGGTATGTGGCATATGTTCAAGGTATGTGGCATATGCTCAAGGTATGTGGCATATGCTCAGGGTATGTGGCATATGCTCAGGGTATGTGGCATATGCTCAGGGTATGTGGCATATGCTCAAGGTATGTGGCATATGCTCAAGGTATGTGGCATATGCTCAAGGTATGTGGCATATGCTCAGGGTATGTGGCATATGCTCAGGGTATGTGGCATATGCTCTGGGTATGTGGCATATGGTCAGGGTATGTGGCATATGCTCAGGGTATGTGGCATATGCTCAGGGTATGTGGCATATGCTCAGGGTATGTGGCATATGGTCAGGGTATGTGGCATATGCTCAGGGTATGTGGCATATGGTCAGGGTATGTGGCATATGCTCAGGGTATGTGGCATATGCTCAGGGTATGTGGCATATGGTCAGGGTATGTGGCATATGCTCAGGGTATGTGGCATATGTTCAGGGTATGTGGCATATGGTCAAGGTATGTGGCATATGCTCAGGGTATGTGGCATATGTTCAAGGCATGTAACATATGCTCACGGTCATGGGGTATTTGGGGGGGAGAAACAAACCTCCACACCTTGCTGGAGGAGAAAGCAAGGCCGCCTGAAAGCACGTGCTGGTCAAAGACAGCCGTGAGCCCCTGCACCAAGAGAAAGAAATGCAGCAGGCATGTCATTGGCTGGAAGGAGGATGGGTTGGAGTGGGCAGAGGTACAAGGGAAATAGAAAGGGTACAAGGTACCCTCACAGAGGGTAGTGGATGTGGTATGGGCGTTGTGTTGAGGTATCGTATCGTATATCTTTCAAAGAGAGAAAAACAAGTGGTACCCTTCCATTCGCCAATCTCTTTTGAGACATCTCAGAAAAGGAGGTACTGTCACATGTAAGGGTTTTGCTCACCGGGGGGAGTGGAGGTGGCATGGGCGTTGAGGTATCCGTCACGCATGGTTGGACGGGCAGCAGTGCTGGAGAACCCGCTTGAGCAAGAAAGAACAAGAGTAAATAATACCCTAACTAAGAGACTAATGGAAAGGCCTTCCCCCGCACAGGGCGTACCTGTGAAAACGACCAGCCGTCGCGGCGCGGGAGGGGGAGGTGGCAGCTGGGGGAGGTTCTTGTGCTGCGGTAATAGCTGATGTTGGGGCCGTGTAAACGGGGACCCTGGCGGTGCCGCTGTGCTGGTGACCAGGGGAGGTTCTCGTGCTGCGGTGATGACTGATGTGGGGAATGGGCAAACGGGGACGACGGGGACGATGGCGGTGCTGCAGTGCTGGTAGAGAAAGGCGAGGGGAGTGAGTGAGAGGAGAGGGAGTGAGGGGAGGAGTGAGGGGAGAGGGAGTGAGGGGAGGAGTGAGGGGAGGAACGAGGGGAAGAGTGAGGGGAGGAGTGTGGGGAGGAGTGAGGGGAGGAGTGCGGGGGGAGGGAGTGAGGGGAGGGGTGAGGAGAGTGGGAGTGAGGTGAGAGGGAGTGAGGGGAGTGAGATTGAGGGAGGGCGAGATCGAATCGGCGGCTGCTATGGAAGGGTTTGACAAAGTTGAAGCTTCGGAAGGGCGTGAAGCAGACGAGAGCGTGCGAGATGACCCCCGTGCCAGCGAAGGTTCAGAAACGGCCGAGATTGCTGCTGCTGCGGAATGGACGGCCGAGATGAGCACTGGCGACGGGATGCAGGGAGCGGGCGAGGGCCTCGAGATCGCTGGTGTGAGTGGCCATGCTGGGAAAGTGCAAAATGTATCACTTGGAATGAGATTTGAGAGATGTGGGACGGCAAAGAAAGACCGATAGAAAAGATTTGACTTGATGGGTAGGGTTCTGAAAGCATGTGCAGCTGCCAACGCTGCGAATGCACCAGCTGCTGTCAATCCTGCAAAGGATCCTGCTGCTGCTGTTCTTGCGAACGCGCCTGCTGCTGCACGATGCTTCACGCGCACATGCCGCCGCTGCCGATGCTCTGAACGCGACTGTTTCTGCGATCTGCTAGCTTGCGCGCACATAGATTTCTTGCTGGTGCGACGAATGATGCTCCGCGCACCTGCGCGCTCATAAATTTCTTGCTGCTGCCGCGAATGATGCTGCGCGCACCTGCGCGTTCGTAAGCTTCTGGTGCGGACCTGCTGCTGCCACGGATGCTTCTAGCGCGCACCTGCGTGCTCATAAGCTTCTAGCGCGCACCTGCTGCTGCTGCGTCGTCCTCGTCCCAACAAGGCTTGCCCACATGCACCGGCAGCTCCGCTTAAGCATCTGCCTGTGCGCATGTGCTGCCGTAGGAGTCCTACGTATTAGCGATTTGAGTTTTCAAGACAATGCTCAAAATGCCATCCAGAGCTCTCCTTGTCAACAAATGCCGTGGATTACTTCTCCAGCGACAGCCCTTCACATTGAATCCTCTCCCGTTGTCTCGTTTCGTAACCAGGCTGCTGACAAAGGGAGCAGGCTCAGATATGGTCGTCGGCTTGCACCTCTTGACCTTCTTTCCGAACTTGACAAGGTATAATCAACAAAGTCGTCGACCCAACAATGAGCGTCATGGTCTTGGAGCGCGTTCCGGAAGAAAGGGAAGAACGATCGCGTATCAGCTAGCTGCTACCTATTGAAGAAGTGTTTTGAGACGTCTCAAAACACTTCTTCAATCTCGAGCGCGTTCCGGAAGAAAGGGAAGAAAGATCGCGTATCGGCTAGCTGCTACCTATTCGGAAGATACGTTGAGAGAATGCTATGCAACAGCAGGAGATAGAATTGTCGCTGGATTCGTCGCTGGTTGTCGGACGTCGCAGCAGGCAGATCCAGTGAGAATCTTCGTGGACGTTCATATTCAATAAAAGTTCACCCGCGTCCGTTGTCAGTATTAGTGTGGTGATGATCAAGCAGACGGCACTGGTTTGCTGCTCGGGGAAGAGTCAGATTCTCTGTCGACATAAATGGCAGCGCTTCGACGCTCGCGAAAAGCAGAAGATGTGGGAGCTTATGAATCGATGGAAGGTTGAAAAGCCGTCTGATGAGTTTCAAACAGATCTATCATGTCACTTTCTCTGTCGACATACACAGCCGCACTCCTGTGAAGAAATGAGGAATGAATGAACTAGCAAGCAGGTGGGTAGAAGTAGGAAAACCTAAAAGTGTTGTACCCCATATTGTCTACCCCACTACAGCCTACACAGACTATAGCATATGAGTTTGACACACCCCCATAGGCAAAGTGGGGGAGAACAAGAGGTCACAAGACCAGTCAAGCAAAGCAAAGCAAGCTCAGGGTGGATCACAACGTCACCACACAGTCCGAGCACAAGAGCAAGGCCACAAGGCCAGTTCACATGCAAGATCATATATAAAGGTAAACAAGCAAGTGCAGGTATAGAAAGATCACAGTACAAGCAAGGTCAAGAAGTGAGCAAGTGAGGCCAAGTAGGCAAAAGACCTAGCATCGTACAGAAGCGCTGATGATCACAAGGCGGAAGTGCCTTGGTAAAGATATCAGCAGTGTTGGCCTCAGAGGCCACGTAAGCAAGGCGCAGCTGACCACGCTGCTGCAGCTCACGAGCAAGGAAGTAACGAAGAGCAATGTGCTTCGTTCTGTGCTCCAGTCTGTGCTCCCGACACAAGGCCAGCATGGCCTTGTTGTCTACGTACAGAACTGGAGGAGAACGAGGCGGCTCTCCTAGGTCAGTCAGCAGGTAGGTGAGCCAGCGTAGCTCCTGTGCAGCCATGGCCCCCGCGTAGATCTCAGCCTCACAGCTGGAGCCGAGAACAGAAGACGAGCGGGTAGACCGCCACGAAACAGAGCCGGAGCCAAGGCTGAAGGTGTAACCCTGTGACGACCGCTGCGTAGCCTGGTCGTCAGCCCAAGAAGCGTCTGCGTGACCTGTGAGGACCACTGGACGTCGCCCTCCAAGCACTAGCCCCATGCCCGACGTACTGCACAAGTAGCGCAACACCCTCTTCGCTGCAGCCATGTGCTCTGGTCGGTGTCTCCCAGGAGCAACATAGCGTGCCAAGATGCTAAGAGGGTATGCTAGGTCAGGTCGTGTGCAGGTCATCAGGTACATGAGGCAGCCAACAAGCTCTGGGTACGGGCCACTCGGCTCTACGGACTCATCCGAAGGCAGAGCTGAGAGCGAGTGGCGAGTAGACAGAGGAGTGGCCTGAGGCGAGGAGTACGTGAAGTCGAAGCGCTGAAGGACCTGCTGCACCATGTGTGACTGAGTCAGGGTAATGGTGCGCTGTGCTCTGTCCCGGGTGATCTGCAAGCCAAGGTAGCTGCGCAGTTCACCCAGGTCTGTGCACGTGTGTCTCTTCTGCAGCTCCAACTTCACGTGGGCGAGTCCAGCAGTGGCAAAGACCAAGTCGTCGACGTACACGAGGATGTAGAACGGCGGCAAAGAGGTGTCGGTGCGCAGAAACAGCGACGGGTCGGCTGTAGAAGGAGCAAACCCAAGAGCCGCAAGTGTAGTCATCAGTGTGTCGTGCCACTCACGGGGCGCCTGGCGGAGACCGTAGACTGGCCGCCGGAGGCTCCACTGGGTACCAGGAGGAAACGACCCAGTGAAGCCAGGTGGGCGGCGCAGCCAGATCTCCTCGTGCAGGCTGCCCTGTAGGAAAGCTGTGCTGAAGTCAAGAGAGTGAAGCTCGTAGTCGCGCTGAGCGGCTATGTGCAGCAGCACCCGAAGAGTGGTCATCTTCGGGGTGGGAGAGAAGGTCTGAAAGTAGTCAACTCCGTGTCGCTGACTGAAGCCTCGAGCCACGTAACGCGCCTTGAAGACAGGGGGAGAACCCGGCGGCCGCTTCACCCTGAAAATCCACATGCCACTGACGATGTTCGCCCCAGGTGGGGGAACCTCGTCGACGTAGGTGCCTGTGGACTTCCATGAAGCCATCTCTGCGTCCATGGCTGACTGCCACTGTGAGGAGTAGGGACCCTCGATCGCCTCAGCGTACGATCGAGGAGTCGGGATGTCTGGTGCATCCGGGTCTCCCTCAGGGGCAATCAGCGTGGACACAAGATGAGGCAAAGCAGCAGCAAAACACTGGAACTCCTCCTGCCTGTCCTCAAGGACGTCCGTGCTAAGAGCACACTCACCCCCGACGGACGGAGGACAGACAGACTCAGACTCAGCAACGAGACTAGCGGCGTAGTCTAGACGACAGCGAGCAGCAAAGTCGACAAGCTCAGCAACTAAGGCAGACGCAGCAGTGGACTCAAAGGAAGGGTCAGTGACAAGAGTGGCCAGGAGACGCGTGACAGTAGGACTGGCAGCACGAAGAGAGTCAGACTCCGGGTCAGCAAGAACAGGAAGAGAGGACTCTGGAGGAGACGGCAACGGGACACGCAGAGGAGCAGTGGAAGGGCGCAGTGCCATCTGGTGTGTGCCTGGGACCGCAGGAGGACGCGGACGCGGAGCACGACCACTAGTGCGAGCAGCACGAACAGGCGACGCAGGACGAGACGCAGGCTCACGACGCTCAGCAAGACCTCCAGTAGGACCAGTGTAGGGAGAAGGAGCAGGTAGGGGGGAGGCGGGCTGTAACTGTGACCGCGATTGGACAGGCTGTGGACACTCTAAGGGAGGAGCAGGACCAGTAGAGGGCGGGAGACCAAGAACCTGCTCAAGGAGCGGAACGAAGTACGGCCTCGGCCGCGCAGCGCCTCCAGAACCAGCAGGGACAGCACTAGTACCCCCAGCGGCAGCACCAGCGCCAGCAGCACCTCCAGCTCCAACAGCGCCAAGTCCAGCACCCTCAGAAGCACCAGCGCCAGCAGAACCACCAGCGCCAACACCCCCAGCAGCTCCAGCTCCAGCAGCTCCAGCAGCTCCAGCAGCACCAACTCCAGCAGGACCGTCAGCTCCAGCACCGCCAGCAGCTCCAGTAGTACCTCCAGCAGGACAAACGCCAGCAGCCCCAGCAGCACCCCCAGTCCCAGCAGCTCCAGTACCGCCAGTACGAGCACCTCCAGGACCAGCAGCAACAGTAGTACCTCCAGCTCCAGCAGCACGGCTCCAGCGCCGGGCAAACCACTTGCGCAACTCCTGCGGAGAGAGTAGCTCCCGCCTCGACGAAGCACCGCCAGAGGCCACACGAGCAGACCCAGCACCCCCAGGCTACGCACCCCCAGGCTCCAAACCCCCAGGCTCAGCACCCCCAGACTCAGCACCCCCAGGCTCAGCACCCCTAGACTCAGCACCCCCAGGCTCCGCACCCCCAGGCTCAGCACCCCCAGACCCGGCACCCGCAGGCTCAGCGCCCCTAGCAGCACCAGAGTCAACAGCTACCTCGACAGGCTCGACTGCGTCTACCTGGGACACACCTGACGGGGCAGGACCCTGAGGGGGGAGAGGGTCTACCGGGGGAGGACCTGGCGCTAGGAAGAGCGGCGGCGGGGGGAGGGGCGCAGTGCGGTAGGGGAAGAGACGGTAGTAAGGCACCGACTCGTCAAAGGTGACGTCCTGGGAGGACAGAACACGGCGCGAGGTAGGGTGGTAAAACTGCCAACCAGGCGCGTCAGGGGGGAAGCCAAGGAAGACGCAGGGAACAGCACGGGGGGACAGCTTGTCCGCAGACAAGTCGCGGACAAACGCCCGAGATCCCCAGACCCGAAACGCAGACGCATCGCCAACCTTCCCCGTCCACCGCAAGGTGGGGGAGGTCTCTGGCAAGGAGACCCGGGGCTGAAGGTTGAGCTGATGCGCTGCGTACTGAACCGCAAACGGCCACAGAAAATGGGGGGCAGCCGCATGGATCATGGACGTACGAGCGACGTCCATGACCATGCCAATGCGGCGCTCAGCAATCCCATTTTGCTGTGGAGAGGTCGGAAGCGTGAAGGTCTGGCGGATGCCCTGTGCACGGCAGAAGGCTCCCAGACGGGCAGAGGAAAACTCCCCGCCTCTGTCAGAGTGCAGACGCAGAACAGGAAAGTCCGAGCCGAAACTCTCTCTGAGCTGGAGACGAGCTGCGCGGATCCAGTCGATCAACACCTCAGTGACATCACCCTTGCTGCGCAAGGGGAAGACCGTGGTGTAACTCGAGTAGTCGTCAACCACCAACAGGAAGTAACGCTCATGACCCTGGCCACGGACGCGGGCGGGGCCCCACACGTCCATGTGAAGAGTCTGCAGCGGAGCCTCTGTCGGAGGAAACGCGGAGGAGTGAGGGGCGGCG